ATGATTTTCGCAGAGAAACTCTCCTTGCAGTGGGGCTGCAAGTGTTAAATACTTGTAGGTCTAGGATACTGAGGAAATTACTTACTTTCCTGATCCGCACTGCTGCAGGCTCCAAGACGACCACCTTCCTAGTCTCTTCCTAGGAAGGCCTGCTCACATCATCAAGTACAATGCAGGGCCTATAGTCCTGCATTATATGGGAGGATGCCAAGGGACAGTCCATAAGCTGAAGTGTAGAGGAGACAAAGAATACCGAATGCTGGGGGAGCAGGGATCAGTTACTAAAAACTGCTTTACCCAAGTACCCTAGACATAAAAGCATTTAACTCAGGAGTCAGGAGGAACACAACATGATTATAAAAAAAAGGTACTACCATAACTTTGCAAAAATATGGTCCATTTCTTTTTTAAGTACATTTTTACATAGTTACATAGTATTTGAGGTTGAATAAAGACAGTAGTCCATCAAGTCCAACCTATACTCTTCTCTTCTCCCATATGCCTTCTTTATTATTTATGTTCTGGTCTGTGTGACCAGGCATTTGTGTCACCGCCTCCCTACAGAGAAATGCCTCTCGATCATGTTTCTTCCGCTTGATGTTTTCTGAATGCAAGTATGCGGACGGCTATGATCTCCGTCATGATCTGCCCACAGCTATAGGAAGGCATTATTTGTAAAAATATAGAAGCATTTTCACTGCAAATGTGGAAAGGGAGCAAAAGATAGACAGGATCCTGCAGTGCAGCTGCTTTTGGTCAAGGGCAGGGATAGTCAAACTGCAGCCCTCCAACTGCTGTGGAACTACAAATCCCATTAGGCACTGCAAGCCACAGTCATGACTCCCAGAGGCAAATGCATCATGGGATTTGTTGTTTCACCGCAGCTGGAGGAGTTTGCCTACCCCTGGGCAAGGGGGAACATTAGAAAGCAATTTTGCTTATCGCTCATGCAGGTTCCTGCTCGAGAGTGCGAGGGGAGACCCAGTGCAAGAGTAGATTTTACATTTCCCAGGAGTTCAGCTTTACCACTGTCCAGTGGGGACAGAAATATCAGCTTTTAATAATGTACTTCTAGTTGTTGACAGAACACAACTTTTTAAAAACACAGTATTATATGCTGTGCCTCAAAATAATGTTTTCTACAGACACAATCACCTGATAATGGAGTTGCCAACATTAGTTACATTTCACCACATCAGCAGATGCAGTGATGCTATTCTTTTACACAGCGCTTCTAAAAATGTCATTGCTGTCACACAGCTGACAGACAAATTCAATTTATAAATGTGGAATGGAATACAATCCATACTGTCAATCACAAGGGTGAAACGGTCAGCTCTGTACTAACCTTTAAACACTCAAAGGAAATAAACCAAAATATTTTCGTGAAAAGAAAAAAAAATCCAAACAACTTAAAATGACACTAAACTCAGGTGTTAAATCTTACAAATGCACTCAAGTACCTTAACCATCACCGTAACTGTACTTTGTGTATCACTCGGTTGTAGATCCTCAAATCATCTCTGAATTGGTGCCGGCACTGTCCTTCCTTCTGGAGGGTGGCTACTTTTGTTCCCCATAGTCCCCGTTTGTGTTCTAAAGTAGTCACCGCTCCAAGATCACTCCTGTGATGGACTACAGTCTCAGGTTCAGTTTACTAATTTGTATTGCGATTGTAGTCCGTCACAGGAGTGATCCTGGAGCGGTGACTACTTTAGAACACACACAGGGACCATGGCGAACAAAAGTAGCCCCCCTCCAGAAGGAAGGACAGTGTCAGCACCAATTCAGAGATGATTTGAGGATCTACAGCTGAGTGATACACAAATAAGCTACATTTATGTTAATAGTGAAGGTAATTGAATGTATTTTTATGGTTTAACTTCTGAGTTTAGTGTCACTTTGAAGCTGAAGTCCTTGCAAATTTGGGAAACAATAGCCCTATGTCACAGAGTGCAAAATGCACTTACAGATGTAGTACAGTGTAGCTCGACAAGAAAGGGTGGAACCCTATCCTTTAGAGTAGACCATGCGTTTAGATAATAGCTTGCCTGAGTCCCTAAGAAATGATGACACAAGAAGCTGGTTCCCCCTTATGGAGAGAGTCGGTCTACGAGAACAAAGCAGTGGCTGCAACAGGAGGCCGTAGGTAAATCTGATACAGAATCTGCAGAGGAAGACAAGAAGCACACTTGTAGCTCCTGCATTCAGTCAGCAAACATATGTGCTATTTGGCCCAAAGTGCATGACTGAAATAAAAACCTCATCAGGCAGAGACGCACACAATGGGGCCAGGAAGACTCCAGAGAAGGCATAGACTCTAGAAGCACAGGACAAGGTGATTATAGGCTGCAGACGTCAGTTTGATCATTAGGGATGTTGCAGGCAGGCCCATTAGTGAAAACATGAGTTGATTACCTGATAACTCTGTTTCCAGGAATCTTCCAGGACAGCCATCGAGATATAGGCTCCGCCTGCCTGCAACAGGAACCACATTAAATAAATACACTCCTCCTTCCATCCCAATTCAGTAACCTCTAGGACCGAAGGCTACCCCATGCACAAAAGTATCCCCTCCTTCATCCAACCACGGATGCCACCTGGATACACACCAAGGGCGGGGACTGGCTGTCCTGGAAGAATCCTGGAAACAGAGTTATCAGGTAATCAACTCATGTTTTCCCCAGTCATCTTCCAGGACAGCCATCGAGAGGATCAGTGAGGACAAATCTTACCTCCTAGGGTGGGACCACAGCCTGCAGGACTTTCCTGCCAAACGCCTGGTCTTGTTGAGTCATAAGGTCCAGCCTGTAGTGCCTGACGAATGTCTGGAAGCTGGACCACGTGGCTGCTCTGCAGATCTGTTCTGGAGTAGCCCCTGCTCGCTCTGCCCAGGACGTAGCCCATGCTCGAGTCGAGTGTGCCGTGA